GCCTTCCTGCTTGGATCACAACGTTTTTAAAAAGCAGCTGCCCCTACACACTGACACACACACACACACACACCACCCAACCCCTGACCTCATCGTCACACTCAGGTCATTATCTATCTTTCTTTTCTTTTCTTTTCTTTTCTTTTCTTTTCTTTTCTTTTTTCTCTTTCTTTTCTTTCCTTCCTTCCTTCCTTCCTTCCTTCCTTCCTTCCTTCCTTCCTTCCTTCCTTTTCTTTCTTTCTGATAGTCACACACACAGAGAGACAGAGAGGCAGAGACACAGGCAGAGGGAGAAGCAGGCTCCATGCACCGGGAGCCCGATGTGGGATTCGATCCCAGGTCTCCAGGATCGCGCCCTGGGCCAAAGGCAGGTGCCAAACCGCTACGCCACCCAGGGATCCCCAGGTCATTATCTTCTTAACAGGTTTCATTTCATAGCATTTATTGCACTCTGACATAGTATGTAGGTCACTGCCCAGCAGAGTGTGTGTGTGTGTGTGTGTGTGTGTGTGTGTGTGTTAAGGAAATATCTGTTAGATGAATAAATACTAAATCACATATACTTTCCAGTCTTCATTTAAATTTTAAATTATTTTCACAATCTAATTACATAATTAAAGTCTATGGATATAGATTTAAGGAAAAATAAGTCTCTTTCATTCCACAAAATGGTAAACTGAAAAGACTTCAACGGATCAAAAACTGTATCAGAAGCCTCTAGAAAAGGAAAATCATTAAGCAGTAATACTGGACGAAGCAAGCTATGTTACTTAACAAGCTACATAAAATAAACAGTCTTTAAGTGACCTGAAACTAACAGCGTGAAGAGAGGGTCTAATTAAAAGTACAGTTTTCTCTTGTATGAACTGTTCTTTGCTTGCCTGTATCCAACATGAAAGCTGTTGTCTCAAACCTTTCTGTCACAGAAAGACTTACTCTCTGCAAAAATCTACTTCTACTCTCTGGCCTCCTGCACTAAATTCTGATGAAAAGCTGTAAGTACCTGATTTCAGCTGGCATGCAACTCATTTGTCTGAAGTTCAGAGTTCTAGAGTTCTTAATGGCTCATTGCCTTAACTCACCTGAATTTATTCATGAACTTTAATTTCCATTCTGAAAGAAATTTCTTTTAAAAAAAAACAGCTAAATCTGAAGAAATATCAAACTTAACAAGGTAAATAAACTTTCAAGTCACTGTTTAAATGGTAAAGTTGAACTAGGTGTCTTTCTTAACTACACCTTATCAAGCCCTATATTTTACCTCAAGTCCCAGCTCTATCACCCAGTATTACTGTTTATTGATTTTCCTTTCATAAAGACCCATAGTACAGTTTTTGACGTTACAGCCTTTTTCAACTTAACATTTTATGGAATCAAAGATACTTCCTTTTCCTTAAATCCACATCCTTGTTCCTTAGAATAAGCAGTTTATTCTAGTCTCTGAAGTCTGTTCTCCACAGTCTAGACAGATAGTAGGTAAGATCATAGGCTCCCATCTCAGCTCTGCCTCTTACCTATTGTGTCATCTTGTGCAAGTCAGTTATGATTTTTAAGCTTCAGCTCCTCATTCATAACATTGGGGTTAAAAACAACACTAACTTTGTATGGGGCTAATTATAATACTTCATAGGAATATGTAAGGGTTAAATGAGATAATGCATATGAAAAGCTCAGCAAGTACCTGGTTTCTAGCAATTGCTCAATGAATTCAATGCTTCAACAAGTATTTACTGAAAACCTACTATGGGAGAACACTGTTCTAGGCATGGGGCTACTGCTGCACTAATTGTTAAAAGTAATTCTGGCCCTTATTGGAATTTACATTCCACTTGGGGAAGACAGACAAGTAAAAATACATCAAATGAAATAATTTCAAGCATACACAATTGTAGCAAACAGATATGAAGAAGGAGAAGAGTGGAACCAAAGGGTGTAAGGTGTTATTTCACACAAGATAGTCAGAAAAGGCCTCTGTGATAAGTGATAGGAACAGAAACTGACCCAGGACGGACTCTGTGGATAGCCAGTGTGCTCGCTAACATAAGAAAGGAGGTGCTGGGTGATCAATAATCCCTGTTTACAACAATGTCTTGCGTCTTCCATACCTTTTCACCAGCTTTGGGAAGCAGCACAGGAGAAATCTGCCAGGGGAAAGTGAGGGAGGGCTGTCTCGGGCACCCACGAGCTTTATTATCCTGAGAAAGCTAAATAAATCCTAATTCTAAAAAAAAAAAAAAAAAAAAAATCCTAATTCTAGATTGTCTAGTTTTCTGTACTTCTAAAGATAAGTAAGAGAATCCTTTGGCCACCATGTCCTCCAGTTAGGCAGCATGATGATATACTTGTATTTTCATGGGTAGGAATGAAATAAATAGGAAGTAAGCAGTAAGTTGCTATAAACAGAAATTATATTGAGACCAAAATAGCACTCTTTATGAAGGCTAAAAATGAAGTCTGGCAAGATGGAAATGAGATGTTTTACAGCATATTATCTGGTCAAAGACATTAACTTCTTACACAAATTAAATCAGGAAATAGATTCCTGTTATAAGAGTATAAATAATTTCTCAAAGGAAGACACATAACAGATAATACCACCATAATAAAATCCATATCAATTTGTTCTTCACTCATAATTGAAAACTGCCTAACTTTCACAACCTCTACTTTGTGATTTTCTTTTAAAAGCATAATATGATTCATTAAATAATGTGCATAATAATATTTACAACAAACAGATAATGGTCTGCCTATTTCAAATACCAGCACTGTAGATCAGGTTAATAGTCGGCTAGATAAACTTCAAAATTTCTACCTCATAAAACAATCATACATAGCTCCTTAATTTTCTCTAGCTTTCAGTCTACAGTTATTTTCATAGCACACTGCTATATAAAATGATGAGGCAATCAGCTCCACAGCCAGTGTTGGGGGTTTGGGAGAAAGAGAATAATTGGCCATGTAACAGTCCACAGAATCTACTCCATTTATCTAGGCTCGATTCATGGGAAATTTTATATAGAGAAGGATATAACTTTATTTGAAATTATATATTCTTATTCAAGCCCAGATCTGCATTTTTATGCGCCTCTTTTATGGCTTTGGTCTCTCAATTTAGACCTGGCTCAGCAAGTAGGAAATGCAAATATTTGGTTGGCTGTAAAACGGGATATCAATATCTCTGAAAACCCAGTTGCATATCTTGCTGACCTAACAGGGGTAAGAAGTATTCTCACTGTGCTGAATTTTATTTCATGCTGGAATTATACCGGAATTAAAGTTCACACTTTTGCATGTACCGGTACGTATACAAAACTCCTGTCATTTAAGGGACAGAGGGAGGGCAGTGGCAGAGGAAATGTTGAAGACAACCCCCTACATTTTTGGTTTGAGCAGCTATTGGGTGGTACAAGCTCCCTCATTATCCAAATGTTTGCTTTATGCCACTCTGCTTTTACAAAAGACTTATATTAGCACCTATGTTTGTTAACTAAAAGAAATTCAAAGAGGATTTTTGCTTTTGTGAAACGGTAATTGCTTCTGTGTATTATGTCATTTGGCTTACAAAAGATTTCGCAGGAACGCTCTATTTTTGGATAGTGGGGAAAACTTGTGCCATTTATTGAAAAAGGAAAAAACAAAGTTTGGAGTTAAACTCAGTTTTACGTAAAGAGTAGAAAAGTCTATGTCTTTCAGAAAAAAGAGTAAATGTAAGCTAGAAATATAAGTTTGTAAGTCTCTGGTATATAAATAGTAAATGGAGCGGCAGGAGTAGATCATCTTAGGCAAAGAAAAGAACTAGAATTCTGCAGAACAACAGCAGTTATTCATTCATTGATAGAGGAAGAAACATTGACGGAATTCTGTTTCCTAGAGAAAAACATGACAAGTTGTTTCAAACTAACAGAATCTTTATAGGGGTTTCTGAAATTGAAATGGGGGTAATAGCAAATGGAAAAATACAAATGAAAAAAGAGCCAATCTTATAATTCTAGAAAAATGGGCAAGAAGGCTAATTTCTTAGCCACAGAATTAGTGTCAAAATCTTCTGTGAAAGGAAGGTTAAGGCTCAGTCCCTCAGTGATGACCGAGTAATACAACATGAGTTCTAGACTAACAAAGGATAGTATAACTATTGCTTTTTTTTTTTTTAATTTCTTTAGCTGAATCTGGATTACACATTAGCATTCTTGGGAATAGCACTTGCTTCATATTAAAAGTCATCCTTAGATATATAAAAATTGAATTAGCAGGTATTAACCTACCAGATTTTATGGCTGTTTATCCCTCTGCTGTACTTCATAGTAGATGGCCTCAAAGAAAAGGACTCTTGACTACCCCAGTTCAAGTTCTGATACATCAAAAGTACTTAGAGGCCTAGCCAGCTCTATTGCTCTACTTTGAGCCAGGCCCCACAGGTTTTACCATAAAACACAAACCATCTTCATACCCATTGTTTACCTCACAAATCTCCTAAAGCACATGGAAGTAATGTGTTCTGTGCTAGATCTTAGAGGTAAAAGTTACCTAGAACAATTTCTCACCCAGCTAGCTACCTGCCAGCCCCACATAAGAAACTTATGATTTATTATATTTGAGAAAAGTAAGGTAGTTTTTAAAACTTCTTTATAATATATTGTAAACTTAACCTCCAAAATTAAAATTCTATTTCACTCATAATTGCTGGACATATTCTTTGACTTTCTGCATCTTAAAATCTCTTATAAACTGAACTCAAAGTCAAAACCTTATAAAGTAAGAAAAAAAGCCTCAAGTATTTCAAGGAAAACTGGGAAGAAAAAAAAAAAAAGAATAGGCCATTTGTAACCCAGCAAATGCTGATTAAAAAAGCAGCCTACCTTAATAAAACCAAGGAAATGCTATGCTTCAACATTAGTGTCACTGGTAATCACAAAGCCCTCTGGTTTCCAAACATTTATAAATAATCTAAGAAACTTATAAACATATACATATACACATACACACACAAATGTACTTACCTTAGGAATAGGATTCAGCAGAACTACACCTGACTTCTTAGTGATGACCTGTTTTGTTGTATAGTGATGATCTATAAGTTGAGGAATGTTTGAAAAACCAGTGCCTTCAAATCGATATAGATTCTGGAGAAAAAAAAAAACAATAAAGAAGAATAAATATGAAGACATTGCTTCAGCAAGACTCCATTCAGTAATAAATTAAGTTCCACTAAGAAAAACTATCGTTGCACAACAATAGTGTGAATATACTTGATATTAGGATCAGATGGTAAAAGTAAAAATAAAAGATCACCATTTCCTCCTTATCAATACAGTAGTAATTGGTATTTCTATGATGGGGTTATTCACACATTATTCTTTCACCAAAAGCACCTAGTCATCTTACACGCCACTGACAAAGAAAGAAAATGCACAGTGACAAAACTACAAATATCGGCATGCTCAAATCTTGCACTTTGTGATTTCATAACATCGGATAAGTAACATTTTCTCAGACTCTGTCACATTCCCTTTCCCTGTATTTATATTTCGAATAGGCAAGCAGGTCATATGGATGAACTGATAGCAATACATTTAGCAAATAAAAAATATCTTACTGGTCACACCTTTCAATGCAGGAAGCACTGGAATGCAAAGTAATAGAATAAAAACTTCTGATAGTTCACAAAGGTTGCCCATATATATGCAGGTGATGTATACAGATACAAATATGAATGTGCTCTAAGAAAACTCTATGTTAAGAAATAAGAATATTTAAAAAGTACCTAAATTTGGATATTATTTATATCACTGGAAGATTATTTTCTTAGTTAAAAGATAAAAAAAAATTAAGGTTCCTTTTCCATAGCAAAAAGTAAGATTCAATTTACCAGAATCTGATTTATATACCACCTTTAAATGGACATTTGTTTTATCAAGTAAGGGACAAACAGGAGTTAGTTTACTGTAAAACTAATCATAGAATATCATTCAATTCAGGGTAGGTTGTGTTAGAGTAAATTCAGGGCAACTGTTGATAAGTTGCCTGAAGAATTTTTTAATACAACGGCCAGACCTACTACGGTATATTAACAATGATGCTTAAGAATATTTCATACTGAAGACACTAATCTATTATTAGTCAGGCAATGTGCCAAGTAAGTTCTCTCAGCATTCAGTTTATTCATCGGTGAAACAAATAATATTTGGATCTCCTCAAAGAGTAAGTATGAGGCTTGACCAAGTATCAACATACAAACCCCTTTGCTCAGTTTATGGCACTGGTACACGTTCAATTACTAAATCACTAAAGCAATAATAATCCTTGGGTTACAAAAATAATTCCATATCCAGATAAAGAAGAAGAAACATTTTCAAAGAATACTTAAAGTGTAAATTACCTTTTCTCAAGGAATAATCATTATCTGTAAATAATCAGATATCCTGAAACCCATTCTTACATTAAACTGATTAAAAAATAAAGAAATGAAAAAGTTCATAGACGTGTAATGCATAATAACAATAGTAACAATGGGGATATTTCAACCAAATATACAGTATTATATGCTTGAAAGTTGCGGAGAGTCAATCTTAAGCATTCTGACCATGCGTACAAGAAAAGTATTTAACGATAACTGTGAGGTGTTAATGGTTTTGATCCTGGTAATCATTTTACAATGTGTATCAAATCATCATGTTGTACACTTACATACAATTCTATTAGTCAATAATTACTGAGAATTCATTCCCCCATAAAGTTAAAAATGTAGGGGCGCCTGGGTGGCTCAGTTGGTTAAGTGACTGCCTCCGCTCAGGTCTGATTCCTAGGGTCCTGGGATAGAGCTCCACAGGGCGAGAAGTCGGCTTCTCCCTCTCCCTCTGACCCTCTTCCCGGCTTAGGCTCTCTGTCTCAAATAAATAAAATCTTAAAAAAAAAATAAGTTAAAAATCCAATGTCTCTTTCCTTTGTCTTCCTTCTGTCTACTGTCAACATAGCATCAGGTGATCCTGTTACAGCAGATCATTCCATTACTTTGCTTATAATTCTTACTTCCCTCAGTATAAACGCCAAAGTCCTTACTATGGTCTCTGAGACTCATCTGTGCTCTGTCATCGCTCTTACATCATCTCTTACCACTACCCACCCCTCTCCCAGCTTCCCTCCAGCCACATAATTTTAGTGAAACACACTATACACACTCCTTACTCAGGGAGTTTGAATTTGCTGCTTGAATAGTTCCTCAGATGGTCGTATGGGTAACGGCTCCCTTACTTGCTCCAGTCTTTCAGCATATGTCACCTTTTCAGTAAGGTCTTCTCTGACCACCCCATACAACATTCAATACTCCATTTTCTCGCCCCAACTAAACTAATCTCCTTTTTCTTATTGAAATTTTGCTCAGAACTTATCACCATCTAATATCATAGCTATTTTTCTTGTTTATTGTCTATTTCCTCCTCTAGAATGTAAGTTCATGAGTTAATAAATTTTTAACATCACAGTATTCCCATGGTTTAGAACAGAGCCTGGCATGTACTGCCTGGATCAAAAAATACGTACGAATAAATGAAATATAATGCATATAAAATGAGTGTGAAGTTAAAGACACAAGTAAGATAACTCAACTTAGAAATGAATACTGAAAACACACACCCAAGCTCAAGACACTGAAGTATAATGTTCAACAATAAGTAACATGATAAAATTCACAGAGAATCAAATTTCAAATCAGCCACTAGTGTCATAATATAATGTCTTGTACAAAATTCTAAAACACTTGTATAACTAGAGAAACAGTGAATAGAATAATGGGAATTTTCATTTAAGAACATATCTGGCTTTTAAATTTAAAGAGAGTTTTCTGTCATTGACATAGTAATCATGATGGGTGAAGACAGTGAATACAAGGGATGATATAAGAAACTGGTTTCTAGCAATTATCATTTTAAAGCAATCAGTTCATATCAGTGAAGTTCTCAGAGTCCTAATTGTGCAAAACCAGATAACTCGCTTTCTTAACTATGAAGATAAAGTAATGAATCTAAAAACAATGCTAAGATGACATATGCTTACCAAGTTCAGCTAAGCATCAAGCTAAGGTCAAGAGTAGCACATTCACGAAAACTGTTGAGGACTTGTTCCTTGATACTCTCAAAATTCCAAATATTATAATTTGATTGTTACAAATCTGTATAAATTTCTTATAGCTCAGATGATATAAGGTTTGGTTCACCAAAAAATGGATTCTTTTTTAAGTTTTCTACATGGCTGTGAAAATAATACAAATGAGAGAATCCAGACTAATCTTAAGTAAGACACTTTTCCTTGGAGCTACTAATGATCTCTTAAGTGAATTCCAAAAGAAGCAATAAAAAATAGTAGTAGAGAATAAATTTTTGCATACTTCTACAAAGGCCATTTTGTTGATTGTCATTTGTATTACATGATTAAGCATCAAGTAATAGGTCATTAAAAAGTATGCATAAAATATGATAATTCAAATTTTATAAAATAAAAATTATATAGATGCGTATAATTAGAATATATCAAAAAATACTCAAAGAATATACACTGAACCCATAAGGTGGTCTTATGAAAACATTTGCTACATCTAGAAGTTGTTTCTGAGTTATCACTGTGCTACTTAAGAATCATGCATATGGATGAAAAACACATAAAAAACAGCATCAGATTTTGTTGCTATACATACTTCCAGAGTAGTGTTACTAAACAAAGAAGTCAGAACAGAATATGCATACAAAAATGAGATGGGGGTTCAATGAATGTATAATCTGAAATCATAAGCCTGAGAAGATCCCCTGAAAAAGAACTGAGAACAAGAAGGCTTAAGGAAAAGCAAGGGAGCAAGGAAGCAAATGAAAGAAAGAAAGAAAGAAAGAAAGAAAGAAAGAAAGAAAGAAAGAAAGAAAGAGAAAGAAAGAAGAAAGAGAAGGAAGGAAGGAAGAAAGGAAGGAAGGAAGGAAGGAAGGAAGGAAGGAAGGAAGGAAGGAAGAAAGAAAGAAAGAAAGAAAGAAAGAAAGAAAGAAAGAAAGAAAGAAGAAAGAAAAGAAAGAAAGAAAAGAAAGGATTTCTCAAAGAGGGCAGCTGAGATGCATAAGCTAAATTTAAAAAAAAAAAAAGTTAAATAAAATAAATAAATAAATAAGCTAAATAAAACATTCCCTTTTTTTGGTAAAATACCTAAAAATGAAAACATAAAACATAAGCTTTAGCTTTCTCCAATAAAAACAGCACATGGAATACTTGTAAGTAACTCATTAAACCAGTACACAGGAAGGGTTGCTGGAGAGTTTGGGAAATCGTATTAATAAGGTTTCTATATGTCTTTTCTTACTTAACTGTTACTCATTCAGATGTTGTCTCAAACTTAACTTCCTTAAGTTTCCCAGTCAAAAGCTTTTATAGCAATGTGCATCTACTTTACAGCTTATAATTATTACTTTACAGTTTATAATTATATATAACATGTGTGATTTACAAGTGACTGTGGGCCTCCCTCCTAGATTATAGGCTCCACCATGGTATCCTTGGGCCTTAAAAGTACTCACTCAGTCTTTTCTGGAAATTAATGTTAATGAGCTTTTGTTAAGGCTTTAATTGTTAAGAAGAAAGTAAGTCCCCTAAGTCTTTAACTGTGTGTCAAGGACACAAAAAATGATAACCTAGGGCAGTTTCTTTTGACTTCAAGGTACTTATCACCTCTTTTGGGTACTTCAAGGGTAGGAGTAGAGTGATTAAAATAATTCAAAATATACAACAAAGAGGCATAAACATGGGATGAACTGTCATTCAAACAAATTTTGTTTTTTTAAATGTTTATTTTCTTTAATTTCAATCCATTAATATATAATGTATTATGAGTTTCAGAGATAGAGGTCTTCAGTGATTCATCAGTCCTATATAATATGCAGTGTTCATTACATCACATGCCCATTAATATCATTATATCCATCACCCAGTGACCCCATCCACCCACCCTCCTCTACCCCAGTGACCCTCAGTTTCTTTCCTACAATTAAGAGTCTCTTATGGTTTGTCTCCCTCTCTGATTTCATCGTTTTATTTTTTCTTCTCTTCCCCTGGGGTCTTCTGTTTTGTTTTTTAAATTCCACATATAAGTGAAATCATATGATAATTCTTTCTCTGATTGACTTATTTTGCTTAGCATAATACCCTCTAATTCTAACTACATGATTGCAAAAGGCAAGATTTCAATTTTTGATGGCTGAGTATTACTCCATTGTAGATAGGTGTGTGTGTGTGTATAAATATATATCTTTTTTGGATCACTACATTTGTATATTTGGGGTAAATACCCAGTAAAGCAATTGCTGGGTCGCAGGGTAGCTCTGTTTTCAACTCTTTGAAGAACTTCTATAATATTTTCCAGAACGGCTACACCAGTTTGCATTCCCACCAACAGTGTACAACGGTTCCCCTTTCTCTGAAACTTCGCCACCATCTGTCGTTTCCTAACTTGTTCATTTTAGCCATTCTGACTGGCGTGAGATTTTGATTTGTTTACAATTTTGATTTGTATCTTCCTGATGCCAAGTGATGTTGAGCCTTTTTTCATGTGTCTGTTGGCCATCTTTAAGTCTTCTTTGGAGAAATGTCTGTTCACCCATTTCTTGATTGGATTGTTTGTTCTTTGGATGTTGAGTTTGATAAGTTCTTTATAGATTTTGGATACTAGCTCTTTAGCTGATGAGGCATTTGCAAATATCTTCTCCCATTCTGTTGCCTTTTGGTTTTGTTGACTGTTTCCTTTGCTGTGCATAAGTCTTTTTTACCTAGATGAGGTCCAAATAGTTCATTTTTGCCTTTGTTTTCCTTGCCTTTGGAGACGTGTCTAGCAAGAAGATGCTGCAGCCAAGGTCATATAAGTTGCTGCTTGTGTTCTCCTCTAGGATTCTAATGGATTCCTGTCTCACATTTAGGTCTTTCATTCTCAAACAAGTTTTGAATTTACTCACCTTCACTTAGTCTTCCTTAAGACTCATGGCATGAATTTAAAAATACATGTCGTTCAAAAAGCCTAGAGATTTTGACAACAATAGAACAAAGTAAACCTGTCTGGTACACACAAAGACTAAATCTACCAGCTTGAAGTGGAATTCAGCACATAATTGACATCCAATAAATACCTGCTGAATGAATCAATGATTTAACAAATTGGGCTACCCAATTTCACACAATAATTAAAATCTCCACTTTTGGGTTATTTTTGTTTTATTGACTCATATTCCTGGGCCTTACACATTACTCGCTCAATTAGTATTTCCTGAATAAATGGATAAAGAAATAAAAGATTATGATATGCCATTACATAGAGGATTTTTTGTTTTATTCTAAAATATTCAATATTGTTATTTTTAATTCATCATCATATATTATTTCAAATTTCTTGGCTCAATCATCCTTAATTCTGCATCTTTAGTATTTCCCTGTACATGAATTCTACCTGTCTCACCTAGTAGGTTTTAAGTTCACTGGGAAGTAGGCCATACATTTTTCAGTATCATCTCCTTACACTGAATAACATGGTCCTTCGCAAAAATGGGTTTTTAGCAAATGCCTGTCATATAAATAAATGAGAGAAATATAACTTGGCATTTTTCCCTTAATAATAAGATCTTTCCAGAGTACTTCTTACTACATGTGTTTTTGCTTTATCATACACAAAAATAAGGATTTGCATCTATATTTACTAAACAAATGGAATAAGGCTATTTGAATCTCTGAAAATCTATCAACATTTATGACACAAACAGTTTTAGAAACAAACTCTAAATATGTTTAGGTATAAACTCTGTTGTATCAAACACCCTAAACAGGCTAATAACTATGGAACAGGTCTGTACCTAAAGCCAGAATTACAATTAGATTCATATACTCCTAGATATGCTTAATATATCTGACTTGATGAGATTAATATATTTAGTTCCAATAAAAAGTACAACTCTTCTTGCCTGAAGAGCTAAGACAAAAGATGTTCTCTGCCACAATAGTAAAAAATGTAAAAATTCAAAGTATCTGTGTCCATCTTGATCATTCATAATGTTCACATAATGTTCACAGCATGCAGTTTCACAGCATGTTAAAAAGTAACTGTGATATGCATACAAAAAAACCCCAGCCTCAAAATAATTGCCATCCTACACTGCAGTTGACAATGTTGCTAAAAATACCATTATTTGTGATTAATGAATACCTCAAACCTAAATAAATAAATTCTAAAACAACACTTCCATTACCATTTAAATTTCACAAATAAATCTCATGGAAACCAGAAAGACATTTCTTAAACTTAACAATTACATGGATATTTCTTACAAAGTACATTTGTATTTTTTCAAAGTCATCAAACAATGGCAAAAATGCCTAATATTTGCATAGCACTTTATACCTTATAAAATATATATTTACTGATTTGCTTCCCACAATTATGATACAGGCTATTAACCCCATTACCTTCCAAACCACAGACTTTCTAAAGTGCCGAACTGGGATGAAATCCCAAGTCTTATGATACCAAGTTCAATGCTTTTTTCATGTTACTTGCTATTTTTCTCATTTTCTAAAATCTCATCTATCTTTATGTCTTCCTCTCTTAAGACACCTATCCCCTCATTTATGTACATTTTTACAATCTACTATTAGATTATAAATTCCTTGATTGGACTATAATAGGCAATCATTAAATATCTGATAATAAATTTCCCCATTTATTGGCTCTTTTCAGGCAACACGTATATGAGGAAGGAAATGGGATAATTTTAGCTCAAGGAAGATTCACCTACGCAAAATGAAAAAGAATTAAAAAGTCTCCAAAAAGTCTAGATCACCTTAAGACTCCTACTTTTAACTGAATGAAGAGCTCAACATTATATAGTGTGAATTAACTAAATAAAAGTAAGCATTAATGCCTGAGGCACTCACAGAAATACAAGCACTCTCATCTTTAACAGAGATCTTTGAAAAGTTTCAATAACAGATGGAAGCTGAAAAAAATCTTCAAATGTGAACCTGCAAGTCTTATTTTCAGAATATATTATGCCGCTCATTTTAGTCACTTAAAACAAAATTGCAATATTAACAACAAATGATAATTTGCAAGTAGACCTTTTCCTTTTTGTTTTTAAGAATAGTAATTTAAATTCATACAGTTACATTTTAAACTGTAAGTGGTAATAAGGGGAATATCTCAGTCTTGTTTCATGTAAGACATATTTTTAAAATCATAACTTTTAGAGCTTAGAAAATAGAGGGAGACACTCAAATTTTAGTTTATACTTTACGTAGGAATTTTCCTTCTACAATTTGCATACCATTTTATAATATTGCCATCATGGTCATTGGTTGGAATAGGGAAGCTTATAAAATATAAAATATATTGTAACTTAAAGACACACAATCCGTAACTTAAAGACACACAAATTAGAAAAGAGTTTGCCAAGGAAATGAGGAATGACATACTACTAGAAACAGCAGGTCGGATGTACGAACATAGGAAAATGTGATTATGAAGTTGAGGTCTGAATACTACACAAAATTAACAATGCTATGAAAATTATAATACAAACTTTAATGGATTTATTCCTTTCAACCCATCTGAATGGCATCTATTTTCATTCAAATATAATTTCTAGATGTGAATATATGAAATGCCATTCTATACTCTGAAATGATCACTTTCACGGTATGTCAATTTTACCTCAGAATTATAAATAGATACATTGATATATACATGGAGAGAAATATGCAGATATAAACATATCTACCTAAAACCCTCTGATGTTTGTCTAATGATAATCGTTCAATCTTTTTGTAGGGTAATGAGTATCATTTGAGTGCCTGGACATAAGCTGAAATCTTACAGAGAGACAGCTTGAAAATGCATGCTATTTGAAATGTTGGAGTAAAAAATGACAAATAGAGGACTTCATATGCCAAGAATATTTAAAATTTCTCAGTGGGTAAAGTTAAACAAAATTTTGAGATTACTTTTCATCTGTTCAATGCTTAATCAAGAATATAACAAACTTAAGTAGTTTAGCAATACTTAAATAAATTTAAATAAGTAAATTAGTATTAAAACAGGCAAGGTGAATATTTCATATGATGAAATTTTTCATCATAAAGGGGGAAAAACCTTAAATCAAAATTAATAATAAAGCTAATTCAACTATCATTGTCCCATTTATTAAGGAGTTTTATTATCCCTATTTAATAACATAATTCTTAAAAATCTCTCATGGTACATTTTTTATAGCAATTTCAAGGGCCAGTTTCTTTTGTTTTTGTTTTTGTTTTTTCAAGGGCCAGTTTCAAGAGCATAAAATTCATTATTAAATTTATCCAGAAAAGGGGGGGAAATTATGATAATCACATTTAAAAATGTTTTAATTTAAAATAGATTTAATGTTCATGTTTAACTTAAAATATTTTAAATGTTGGAGCGCCTGGGTGGCTCTGTTGGTTAACTGATCTCAGGTGTATGAGATCAAGACCCATGTTGGACTCTGTTTAGCTAGGAGTCTGCTTGAGATTCTCTTCCTCCCCCTGCTTGTGCTCTCTCTGTAAATAAATACAGAGATTTTAAATACTTAAAATCTTTTAAGTTAAATTTGTAACAACTATTTTAATTTATAGCATCTTAAAACACGTATGTCCTTAATAAGATTAACATTTTAGTGAATTTTGGCATACTGTATTGAAGGAATTCAGAAAAAAGTAAAATTAAGTACTAAACTAACGTATTATGGGCATTTATCACATACTATTCACCATTTTATTATAATTATACCATAATGAACAATATAAAAATATACATATAAACTAAATTGGAAACGTACATCAACAAATTGTATGATAAAGTGTCTCCTTTGTCCATCAGAATATACAGAAAGGACATATTCACCAGGTTTCCCATGACTCTCTCGCACCAAGAAGTCTCCTTGTTGTTTTAATAGATCCTGCGCTTCTATTCTGGGAATTGCACCGTGGTACCAGTCCTGTTCTGCCAAGGGCTTCTCACTTATGGGGATCGTATCAGAGAACTTGAACAAACATTGAGAAAAAAAATAATAATAAATTAGAGAAAATAGGAATTCTTCCTGGTAAAATTCATAGCATTTATAAATACTTCTTACATTTACTCCTCCTTTTAAAATCAACCAATTAAAAGTTTCAGGATGAATCTGAATTTTTCTTAATTCTTAAAGAAAATATTTCCTGGAACACTGGTGCTGAAGTTTAGCTCAAATACATATCTTTCAGTACTTTGAGTTTGTTTATCCTACCTATCATACATAGATGCACACAAAATTAGCATTGATTTTAGAATTTATAGTCTTATTCACCATATTATAAAAGAAATCCATATATTTAAAATTTACCAACCAGAGGATTACGGTAAAAGGGCATATTACCAGAGAATGGTCACAAAACAATTTCATTTTTATTTAAATTAAAAGTTAATTATTTTTATGGAATAAACTTGCAGTGACACAGGCTATAGACTGCCCATGTGCTATGTTCCAGAAGCAACATCTAAGATTTCATCTGATGCTGCCCTGCTGCTTGCCTTCCCCTTCCCAGTCTTACCCTCATTCCCCCAACTTCCTTAGCCATTACCACTGCCACATGGCTGGTCCTGATCCTGTACAGCAATGGACAATAAAGCCTTAGGAGAAACAGCATCATTGAAAATCACCAATGTGAAATTATAAACACGTGGCAAAAACAAGAGAGGACTATAAGCTATGACCATGGCAGGAAAAGCAAATAATCTGTTATTTTAGGAGGCCACATGCTAATACCAAGGGAGCTAGTTATATTTCCTTGAAATGTTTCTAACTGATCATAGATGGAAACCTATTTTCTTGGTAAGAATAAAAAGTTTGTTTTCATCATCCAAAGAACTAAATTGCTCCAGATGGCTAAGAGTACTGTATGGGTAAGCTACAATAATGTGCGCTAACTCTTAAGATACTTAGAATACAATATGCACAATGTCTCATGAGAAAGTAGTTTATAAAAAAAAAGTAGTTTATAAATTGGAGAAATTAGAATTAATAATAAATGAAAGGCAAATATTCACACATAGGGTTTCTCAGGCTGATATCATGAACTCTATATAGGGACAAAGTATATGACATCTTTGTGGTAAAAGAAAACTAGTTCTGAAGATAGCCTTCTTTGTTTTGCACCACTAAAAAGGCCCAAAACTTACTGGTCAAAGTTCCATTTTACAAGTTATAATCCTATTGATTTAAAAAAAGAACCTTGAAAAATCCCAAATGGGCTTCAAAGAAGTTTTGGTTTTTACTTCTTCCATTTATGATACATTTAATTCTTTAAATATATACATGGTGTGATTTACACTGAAGTTTTTTGTAAACTAACTAATAAGCCTTTTCTTTTAGTACTAATCATGACAAATATAATATTTCAAAGAACTTTTAAATCGAAAAGTGGATTTAAAGAAGAAATTATATAGAGGAACCAGTCGCAAGTATGAAGTAAAAACAAATGCATAATTTACACAAAATTAACTTTTTATGTATACTGATACCAATGGTTTATAATTCTTAAAATAGACAGTTATTAAATATAGCCTTTTCAAAATTTTATCACACTGTATCTCACTATAACAAATACCAAATTTTTTATATAATAGAAATATTTCCAAGAGTTGTCAATGGCAAAAGTGTTTTATTGATTTTTTTCTTAGAAAAAAATCAATAAAATAAGAAATTCAATGTCACCTCCTTGCAAAGAACTTGTTTTCATCATTATCTTTCAAGAAGGTTACATATTAGAAAGGTGTCACAAACAAGGATGTCATGTGCTTGATTTCTTGTCCTATTCAACCTATCCTCCCAAATGTTGATTTATTTAGTACAGTAAAATGGAGAGCCTAGAGAATTCATTAAGTCAGAGGGCATTTGAAGTACAAAAGCTCAGCTAACACAGAGAAAATCATTTAAGGATTTGAATGTGAGGAATTTGTTTGGAGGGAAAAAAAATCATCGTGAAAAAACATCTGTATCTATTTGTTTGCTTTAAAAAAGAAGTGAATGGGAAGGAACTTACATTATTTTATCACAGGGATTACACCTCAGTTCTCTGGATTTATTAGTTTCTTTGAAATAGAAATCTGTTGTTACCAGCTCCTACACAATACCGTTATAAAGTACAAGCTGAGGGCGCCTAGGTGGCTCAGTCAGTTGAGCATCCAACTCTCGATTCTGGCTCAGGTCATGATCTAAGGGTTGTGAGATTGAGCCCCACATAGAGCTCTGCACTCAGTGCAAGTCCACTTGTCCCTTTCCCTGTGAACTGCTCATCTGCACAAGTGTGCACATTCTCTCTCTCTCTCAAATATAATCTTTAAGAAGTGTAAGTTGAGGGATCCCTGGGTGGTGCAGCGGTTTAGCGTCTGCCTTTGGCCCAGGGCGCGATCCTGGAGACCCGGGATCAAATCCCACATCGGGCTCCTGGTGCATGGAGCCTGCTTCTCCCTCTGCCTGAGTCTCTGCCTCTCTCTCTCTCTGTGTGACTATCATAAATAAATAATAAAAAAAAAAAGACCTAGAGAAAAATTATTAAAAAAAAAAAAAGAAGTGTAAGTTGAGCAGTTTGTGAGTATATGTGTGTATACACGCATGTGCACACACATACACAGGGAAAGGCCCTATATAGGCCCTGTCTGGGTCTATCAGGTTTTACAGAGATTTCCCTGCAAGCATTGGAGGGAACATTTTTATGAACATGTTGTCAATTAAATTCCAACACAATTCTGCAAGCTTATTAGTAATAGAATGTAGAATGGATTAGCAACAAAATCCAACATCCCAAGAGCCACCATAATTATATCAAAAAGGAAATGAAGCTTCTTACTTCAAATATTGTATCTTTCTAATGCTCAGTAGGGAAAGATTTTTCCTTGTCAGGAAGTTACCTAAGATTATTGCCCAAGATATGGGGAGAGGGGTTCCTTTTTGAAGTTATAGCTAATCTAACACAGTTAATTAGTTGTACTTAATAAGACAAGCTTTCCTCATTGACTGGGCTAGCTGTTTAGCTCTTTTCCCTGGGTCTTGTTCTTAAAGAACATTCCAGTAAAAACATATCAGGCTTAGTGAAATAAAAAGATTCACTTAAGTGAAGAGGCAATGAGGAGTCAGTTCTAGAAAATAAAAATATTTGGGGGGAAGGTGGAGAATATGGGCCTTTTTTTTTTATCCTCGTTCAGCTTAATTTCCAAGTATGTAATGAAAATCTGTATGCCTTTATTTTTTTTTTAAGATTTAATTTATTTGAGAAAAAGGAGCAGGGAGAGGGGTCAAGGGGAGAGGGACAGAGGAGGGAGAGAGAGAATCTCAAGCAGATTCTGCACTGAGAGGGGAGCCTGATGTGGGGCTCCATCTCACAACCGTTGAGAGATCATTACCTGAGCCCAAACCAAGAGTCAGATGCTTAAGCAACTTAGCCACCCAGGCTCTCCCATTTATATGTTTTTCTCACAAACACTTCAGTGCAAGATGAGCTCCTTTCTGAGAGGCAAAATATGTTAAAAAAAAAATATATATATATATATATATCAGGGACACCTGTGTGGCTCAATCAGTGGAGCATGTGACTCTTGAGCTTGGAGTGTAGATTCAAGCCCCACTTTGGGTATAGAGATGACTTAAAAAAATAAAATCTTGGGGCACCTGGGTGGTTCAGTCAGTTAAGCATCCAACACTTGATATCAGCTCAGGTCATGCTCTCAGGGTTCTGGGATCAAGCTCCACGTCTGGCTGCATGCTCAGCACAGAGTCTACTTGAGATTTTTTCTTTCCCTCTCCCTCTGCCCCTCCCCCACTTACACACACACAATCTCAAATAAATAAATAAAATCTTTATCTTTAAAAGTAATAAAATAAAATTAAAAAAAAATCAAACTGAATTCTATGAAAATCAGGCACAAATAAATGATTAGAAAAAAAATGAAAATATAGTATGGAAATATATAAGTAAACCCTTCAAGGAGCTTGAACAAGCTGAATAAAACTTCCATATCAATATAAAAAGTTTTTATGAATTTTTATTACCCATAAAAATGACATTTAATTCTCTTTTCTATTCTCATATAAATTTAGTCATTAATTTTATAGTCTAAGTAAACAACTATTTCAAATCTAGTTTAATATTATACTAGGGTGAAAACAAGCAATTCCAGATTTTAAGCATTTCAAAAAAATTGTGTAAAGACCTCTTTAATTTTAAAGCTATGTATCACTGGAAAATTCTAGATTAGGAATCAAATGTCTTAGAATTAGAAGTAAAAGAATCACCTCCTTGCAAAACACTGGAATAGGGGATCCCTGGGTGGCGCAGCGGTTTGGCGCCTGCCTTTGGCCCAGGGCGCGATCCTGGAGACCCGGGATCGAATCCCACGTCGGGCTCCCGGTGCATGGAGCCTGCTTCTCCCTCTGCCTATGTCTCTGCCTCTCTCTCTTTCTCTCTCTCTCTGTGTGACTATCATAAATTAAAAAAAAAAAAAAAAAAAAACACTGGAATAGTCTACTGAATCAGTAGGAAATCAGCCTGGTGGTGGTAAAAGCTATTTTCAGTGAAAGGAATATGTAATCATAGGTAGAAAGCATATTTTCTACCATTTAGGTTTTGGTAGTTGAACAAATACTTAACATAAAATGAGAACGTGAATTAATAATGTTCTTGCTATATTTTTCAAAATTTCTAAGTAACTCCTTCTTAAATTAATGGAATGAGTTAATTCTTAAAACAATGAAAAATAAAAAAATATTCTAGATATTTGATCTTCATGATCATTGCCTCAGGCTAGACAAAGGATGTAAATTAAGCAGTGTTTTGTCTTTAAGAGGCACTAAGACCTATCTGTAATTCTACAAATTCTAATATTTTTAGCAATAAAATAGAACTGATCATTGTTTTATGTACTGATATCTTAGGAAAAACAAGGATACTTCATCTACTCTTTATTTTCCACAAATAAACTAGCAACAAAGCTCTTATTCATAAATTT